TTCTTTTGTTTTTGACTACAAACTTCAAAATATTCATAACCATACTGATGTGTATCAAATGAATCATTGAGGAAAAATATAAACTTGGTTTGCAAAATTGCCCAATAATAATGGTTCTTATTCATGCCTGATGATGTCACATAAAAAAAAGAAAGTCACCATGGCTATGAATCATTAGTTGATGACGTAGTTGTATGATGCAATACACGGTGACGAAGAACGATCAAAAGCATATTTTATTTATGTAAGTTATATATTGAATGAAAGGAAAACAGATACCATATTAGAACAGGATCATGTGTTGTCTTTTCTACAATGTCAAGACAAAGTTACAAATGACAGACGTGCAATCTAAAGTAAGGTGATTTTTACTGCAAAAAGACACCTCTTTATATCGAAATGATTGACATATTTCTCCAACTAATAGCTTCTTCCTATGCTCATGCCACCTTGCTACAAAAAAAACATCAGACATGAGTTTCATATCAACTAAATCTGTTTTAATGTATCATAATTAGTATCCTTGAATTTTCAAAAATTTCTTAGCTAGAGAGATCATTGCATCTTGTTATTTTCTACAAAAAAGTTTAAATTTTTTAATAACCAAACTTTTCGACCTCGATTGTGTAAAAAGTTTAGAATTGATTCGTTGAAGTTCTCAAAAAATATCTCGCTCATCTCTATCAGGAGCACGCTCGGATTGAGATCGACTACTGTTTTTTTAAACACGAACTGAACTGATTAAGAATTTTCAGGATCGGATCGAAACTTAAAGCAAAAAACTAGTTCAATTGTCAGGATATCCTTTGAATGAAAAGTGAAAAATATCACCTAAAACAATTAGTAACAGTAATTAAGGAAATAAAAGTCACGTAAATGAAATAAAATTGTTGAGGTTACTTTCATTCATGATTATCTGCTGATTGAAAATTTTAAATGTAGATCTCATATTGAAGCGATGCCTAAGAAGACGATGAGTCTGCCATAAGAGTGAACAATATTTGCTTTAGAAGTAGAGATTTTCCAGTTAGACAATTAGGACCAAGTGATAGTACATTTCATATGTTTGCTCAACTCTACCGTACTAGAAATAATTTGCATGGTGTTGTGCAATAATAGAGTTAACTAAACAGAATTTCTTCTGATACCATCTGTGAGGTTGAGGCGGTCAAAATATGAGATACTTTGACTAAAATTGAATAATACGAATGTTGTTGGATTCAGTACGATAATGGATTATATGCATTCATTACTTCTACAGAATCTATCATATCCTTAAATGGTCTATCTAAAAGATAAACGTGAAGCATCTAACCTAACATATTCATATAGGTTAATTGATCGTTACACTTGTACGTTAATTGTGTGGTTTGGGCTAGTACAAAACTAGATGTGAAATAGATAGATGCTTCATGATCATGATCATAATCATTGACATTCTTGTTTTTTTGTTGACCCGAAAATGTAGAGATTACAACATGAATGTCGTTTTCCATGATACTTTACGATGTTTAACTTAATCAGTGCTCAAATCACACACTTGCACACAGTTAAAAAAAGAATTTTTTTAAGCTAACTAATCTTGGACTATTCGACATTGTCTTCCTACATACTACCCTCATGCAACTCTATCTACGAATTAATAAGAAAGATTTTACAGAATCTTTCTTACAGCTCAAAAAGCTCTACAACATAGTATATTTGATTGATTTATTTATGAATTGGTCACCTTGTTAAACAACGTTTTTTTAAACACTGGAATCAAAACTTTTTAGTCAATTCTAAGTAATTTCAACCCTCAAAGTCAGTTTTCTAAAGTTTCTCTACTTTTAGATTGCTCATGTCTAAAACTGTTGTTTGACTTGGTAATCTATACGATACAGTGCGTATAAAAATAAACACAATGACAAGTATTATCAAGAGTGAATATATGAAACAAGCATCAATTGATGCCGACATCATTTGCATCATTTGCACCAATCCTATGAGACAACCGATGTCAACTTCATGTAAACATATTTTCTGTAGACAGTGCATCGAACAATGGCTCGAAAAAGGTGGAAAATCATGTCCAATATGTCGTCAACTATTATCAATCCAAAACTTGGTTCCAGTCACTGAATATACAGTCCTTAATAGACTTCGTCAACTACGAGATCAACACATGCCACAACCCTTGCATGACGTGAGTAAGTGATATTGTTTGTCTAAATATAATCGACAAAGAGACTTCCTGTTTATTACATGTTTCATAAAATAAACATTGGTTACTTGCCATATCACATATGAATGCACTCAAGAACACTTTATCTCGAAGCAACACGAAGAAGAAAGTCATATTCGACATTGATCAAAGGAAGGAGAACTGATTAAGAATAGTTCTACACCGTTTTGAAGTTTCGGTATAATAGATAATTCGAATCTTTTCATCATATTTTGATCAAAAAAGTTGATAATTGTATTTCACAGGTTATGAGAAAAATAAAATACTTATTCTCTTAGCCAAGAATTAACGATATCTATTTCATGAAACACGATTAAAAAGGAATGTTGAGGTGTGGGGTGAAACAAGTGAACTCCACTCTATTCCACAGACTGTGACAGTGAAAGAAATTTTCAATAGACAGCGATAGACATAATGACGTCTCTCTATTATGGTTAGAGTGGCTCCATTGTGTTTCACATTTTAATTCTGCACGGATTGTGCTGAAAGCTTTTCTCTATTAATTCCTTGCATTAGTATCGTTTTTTTCAGATTTGTTGAAATGCACATTCTATATATACAACTTTTTGTGCCAATCATGAATATAATCTTTAAATTAGGGAAAGTTTCATTGTGTTACTGGAAAAAGCATTGTACTACTAGATGTTTTATACGATGCTCTTTCACTATAACACTATCTTTTCGTTAGTTAGTTACTCTATCATTAGAGAGTGTGATTTTTTGACGTCTGCTAGCCATGTATTCAATATCGAATTCATCAAAATTTGCAATTTTTACTTAATTGCTCGAGAATACGTTAAGTCAGACATTTCATAAGGATTGACTGCCTTTGATATTTTATACCTGTATCATTTCTATAGATTTCATCGCTTACTACAATCCAAGACTGGAACGACAGATCGCCTTATGTGATCGTTACGCGACAGTGTGTTTGGTCGAACAGAAATTGACGGATCAAGATATACCGATTGTTGTCCAACAAGCAATCATTCAGAAAATGTGTAAGAGACTCTGGTTAACACTCAACGAAATCGAATCATATGGCGCCTCGATCTTAGCCGATGCATTGTATGACAATACTTCATTAAAAGAACTGTCTCTTAACAACAACCACGTATCTGACATAGGTGTTCAATCTCTGGCATTGGCACTCTCTATGAATAATTCATGTCTCAAAGTACTTAGTCTTTCGAGCAATCATCTCACTGACGAGAGTGCACAACATCTGGCTACGATGCTTGAAAAAAATACCACATTAACTGGATTATGGCTGTCTGGTAATCAGATAGGTGATCGAGGAGTGCAACTATTGGCTAATGTACTCGCCCATAATAATACAACACTTGAAGTTCTGTCTCTCTCATCGAACATGTCAGTGAGTGATTCAAGTGTCGATTCTCTCGTTGATATGCTTGAACACAACCATTCATTGAAAGGATTTCACGTGAATACTTCTAATCTGTCTATTGCAACCGATGCAACACTACGACAAATAGCAAGCGCAAAAAATAACTTCAGATTCCTTCAATGACATATGAGTTTCATCGCTTGTCATTTGGCGATTTTTTTCTCTGTCTACTTGAATATGAACTTGGATCTGAACTTTATATGTTTTTTTTTAATAATTTTTCTTCGTAATAAGAAACTTTACATGCAAAAATCAAAATGACATTTGTGCTTTCAATATGTATTCGATGAAGATTTGCTGTGTGAGTCGTAAATGATTTTTTTTAGAAATAATGGTGACGTTATTGAAAGAGTTTTTGTTTTTTTAAATCAAATTAAAGAATCTCATTGAACTATGTTCAAATATATCTTGTTTGTTTCATATTTTGTATGCACATTAGATAAGCATTCGTTCGTCGAGAAATGTCATCTAAAGAAGCCTTCAGAATGTAGTTTTATTGGATCTTGTTTGTCCCAAAAAGAATTTTACTTGTTGAACGATTTCTTGGTAACGAGAACAGAAAAATGAACATATTTTATGCTTCCTCGCAACTCTATAAAAATAAATTCTTTGATTTATTATAATTTAGTTTTCCGTGAAACAATGCATCAAGACTTTAGGATAAAATTAATTGCAAGAAGATCATATAAAGCAATTCGTTTTTGTTATATTTAATTAATCTTTTTGTTTAAGAATATCTTCCCTGTTCAACATGTGTCATCTAATGTAGAATTCAGGCAGAGTTCTGATTGGACCTCTTCTGCAAGACACTCACACCATTCATGATTATTCTTTGGAACTGCATCAGAGAACGAGAAAACAAAATATATTCCCATACTGCTATCTCCACTAACTTTAACAGAATAAGAGAAGAACTATAATTCTAGTTCTACTGTTAGCTACCCTATTGGTGATTTGTACCCTGGAAATATAGCTCTACAAAATTAAGATTGAAAATGAAATTTCAAAATTAGATGTTAATTTAAATATTTCATATTACAAAGGTATCCAATTGTCAAGATTCCTATAAAAAGACTTACAAGTTATCATATCTACCATCTTACATTAGGGTATATTTCTAGATGTACAATTTCATTTTCAACTTTAGAACTATCCGTATATTTAGATAAAACTTCAACGAATAGCATAACGAAATATCTGTAACTTGTATGATTCTAACATCTTTGAAATTATCATCATTACTAATTAATTTTGCATTTTTCTTCGATAAAAATAAAATGTATTTTATTATCGGACACATGATACATATACAAGCATAGATTAGAAATAATTAATACAGAAAAACAACAAGAAAAATTTCTTTTTTTGTCAATACCATATATATAAATTTTGTAAAAGCGACTTTATTGAACAACTAGTAGGTAAATATGGTAAAATCATTCTTTCCAATGCTGTATCTATATTCAATAGACATACTAAAGATAGATGTTCATTGTATTTCTCAAATTCGAAGAATAAATGTGATATAATTGATATAAAAATATTTAGAGGTATTTGAACTGTAAATTGTTTTAATCGAGGACAAAGTTTAATAAATAAAAGTAAACATTCCTGTATTGAAATTTCTCTAATCATTAAAATCGTAATTTTATTGATTTTATGTATGGTTTGAAATGTTTGCGTTTGTTGTATTGAAGTCGAACTAATTTTAGTTAATGATATTGAATTAATTATTAATATATGAACATTTGGTGAAAAATATAATAATTCCATTAATTTACCAATGCAAAATTGATGACAATTAATACATAATTTAAAAAGTTTTACTAATGGTATAGTTCGATCAAGTATAGTAGGAATTGAATAAAGCGTATTATTAGAATGATCAAAAAGTGTAAGTTGATTAGTATTAGGAAAATAAATTAAATTATTTTCAATTTCTAAATTATCTCGAATAGAAATATGTTCAACTGAACGTACATAATTAGTCTTTCTACATAGATATGTAGTATGTTGACATAGTCCATTGTGTAGTGTGCAGTGTTTTCGTCTTTTTTTTTCAAAACAATAAAACAATTAAAAATAAAACGTGAATATATTTTATTGAGTGAAATTTACCTGTATGGTTCTGTAGAATAAAATCTTGCTAAACTATCTGTATATTCATATGTAAAAAACCATTGTCTTTCGTACCAAAATGGAGACATGAATTGACTTATTAAAATATGAAAATCATCTTTATTATTGTAATAATTAGCTTGAAGTTCAATATCAAATATACGTAAATATGGCATATGAGATAGAATTAATTCTTGCCATTGATTTGCATTTAAATACGTAATATTAAATTCTGTTGAAAAACGAAAAACTTGAAGTTGATGAGAAAGATTTCTAATAAATAATTTAATTTGATTAAAACTAATATTTTCACTTTGAAGTGAAAGATGTGTTAAATTAGATAATATAAGATGTCCCAAATTTTGTTCTACATGAGAGGATTCCAATAGTTTCTTACATGATAAACGACGAAGTTGTGAAAGATATGATAAATATACTTTGAGATGAGTAATACTACAATTACTATCGATAACGAAATGTTCGATAGGATTGCAATGATTCTTGGCGATAGGTAACAGTTCATCGGAATCGCTTTCGTTCAATGATATTCTCAAATATTTTAATGCAGGTAAACGAAAGATTGTATGATACAATCTATTTACATTATGAAAATCATCAATAGGAATGATAATTAATGATGAAAGATTAGGTAATAAAGATAAATGTGGAAGAAGACTTGTAATGTGATTTGATTCAATATTTTTAAGAATAAGTATTTCAAGTTGAGAATATTGTGATAGAGTAAGTAATGGTGAAGATAAATAAAAAATAAATAAATTTTCTATATTCATTGAATAAATTCGATTTTGATAAGGAATAAGGATATGTTTACAATAAGATTCAAAAGTATTTTTAGACATGGATGAAATATTGATTTTAATATGAAATGCTGGATTATTAACAAGACTATGATATCGAAGATTAAGCTTTGAAAAGATTTGATCAATATCATTAAAATCGAGATATTCGAATATTTCATAGATTACTTCATTTGGGAGATTTTCAAAGAGGGTAAGCAAGTTTCCTGGTGAACTGAAAGATAAGAAAAAGATAATAAACGAAAAAAAATTATGATACTTACGAATTCATGTTGAGTAATATTATATTAACTATCTTTTTTTGGGTACTAGTTCACCTTAGACATAATAGAGAACAGGAAAGACAATTTATTTGTTGAAAAGTGTATCCAATGAAAAGAGAGGAACGAAAAAAAGTGAAAGAAACGATAAAATTATAGATGGCTGCTATAGATGACAGTGTCATTCGATGAAAGAAAAAAATGATAATGAATATCTGAAATATATCACTACTATCTATAGCAGCCATCTATAATTTTATCGTTTCTTTTCTTTCATTTTTTTTCGTTCCGCTCTTTTCGTTGGTTACACTTTTCAACAAATAAATTTTCTTTCCTGTTCTCTATTATGTCTAAAGTGAACTAGTAGCCACACAATAAAATATAATCTGTCAATCATGAATGAGACAATAGAAAAAAGAAAAACAACTTCAATGAGTTAAGTCTGTGAAAATAGATTTGATTCATATAAGAAAAACACTAATCATGAATATATTTTAAGTGACGAATAACGAAAGAATAGATGGATAGAAAAACCGGAATGATATATAACAAGCTGTAAAATGAAAATTAAATGTAATGTATTTGCAAAAGTTGGACATATATCTAACGTATGGAAATATCATGACTGTTCAACCAATAACACATATACACCAATAGAATTATACTTTAATATGTCGAATTAAAGTAAATTTTATTTCTTATTTCGAATGTAGTACTCATCAAAGAGACAGATTAACTGTACAAAATGCATTCTCAATGTTCAGCAAAACCATACATATCTTACACAGAGAGGGTGTGGGTGTGGGTGTGGGAGGGCATGTGGGTGCAGGTGTGGGTGTGGGTGTGGGTGTGGGGGTGGGAGGGGATGTGGGCGCAGGTGGGGG